ATCTCTTGTGGGGTAGTGTGGTGGTATTGGTAGCATGGGATCTCTTGTGGGGTAGTGTGATCGTATTGGTAACATGGGATCTCTTGTGGGGTAGTAGTGGTGGTATTGGTAACATGGGGTCTCTTGTGGGGTAGATCGTATTGATAATATGGGATCTCTCGTGAGGTAGTAGGATTGTAGTGGTAATATATATGGATCTCTCATAAGGTAGTTGGATTGTTGTGGTAATATGGGATCTCTCCTGAGGTAGTGGGATTGTTATGGTAATATGGGATCTCTTGTGAGGTAGTGGGATTGTTGTGGTAATGTAGGATGGAGGGGATAAATAAATAAATTCTTATGTTTTGTCTGACAGGAAGATACATTTTTGTTTTGATAGACACCCCTTCCATAATAATATTATTAGTTAATATCATTGCCCTAAACATAAAATACCTTACATCACTAAAGATGATGATACAGATGCAGGATTTCAGATGATTAGCAACTGTAGACATTTGAATTTGTTTTGCAAAAATGGAAATGATCAAGATGCAACGCCCATATTCATCTTTAAAATGAAAAGGAAATACTATTTCCAGTTATGATGTATTCATTTATTTACCTACGTATTTTATAATTGTTTAAATATTGGGCTTAAATTATTGGGTTCGGAATTCACTGGTGTAACACAGGAATATCTTTCGTACAGGTCGCAGATTTCGTGGAAAGAGATGTAGAAATTTACAATTCAGTGTAGAAATCAGTGAGCATCTTCAATGGTAAGTAAGTTAGTGTATGGGAATTTGTATCATAGCTAGCCAGACAAAACACCAGGTCATTTTGTCTATTTTGCGTAGTTTATTTTACCTTTCCTTTCCTTCTTCTATAATGCGTTCCCATCACCGCGATAAACATCAAGTATTTTCCCCAATAAAATGAAAGGAAAACTTTGGTTTTTCTGGTTAAGATTGTCTCGAAACCATAGACGAAAAACCAGACATCCATGCATCGGTTTTAGCCTCAGCGTCGCTTCTCACAGGAAGCCATTCTTGTGCAAATTCCATGGTTTTCTCCCGCTATAAATAGAAACCAATAACCTCCAACCAATAATCAACAATCATCTATTTTTCATATCTTATAAATTAAGACTTGAAATTCATATACCAATTATGACTAGAGACTATCTAATGCATCTCCCACGTAAATGGATCTCGTTCTGTTTGTGTTTGACCGTCATTAGTATTCATAGGTATTGCCGGCCACCTGTATTGTAATTACCATTGAGGAGGTTCCCACGTATATATCGCGTACTGCACTGAACTCATGCACTCTTTTCAAGGATAATCCTTTGTTTCTGAGATTGAGGTCAATTACCCTGCCTTAGCTGAACCAATAATTTTGAAGCTACCACACGGACACTCCTCGATAGCAAACGTCGTGTATTATACTCGTGAAACAAGTACCTTCAAAACGCCACAAATTTTATTGAAAGGAGCCTCTCGACGCTGGCCATAGCAAGAGCTGAAAAGCTACTATAAGCTTTGTGCAGCCTTGTAATGCTTGATCCTTTACGGTTTCAGCTCATAGACGGTGAATCCTCTCAGCGTTGAAAAAGAATTTTAAACAAAAGTCAAATGGATTATCGCTCTAAAAACGAGGTATTATTATGTAATATTATTATTATTATTATTATTATTATTTGTTTATTGATACCCGGGAAGACATATCCACCAGTAACCACATGTTAAAGCTGCACAACCCTCTTGAATCATCGAAACAGGTCCGATTCTTCCTTGCTTATTTTGAATATGCATAAAAAGCATTTAAAAAGCTGCTTTTTGAACACATATATTATACGAGAAATTATGCAAATATCTTTTTCTGTATTTCGTATTGAATATTACGAAAATATACGTTTTGTGATGGTACGCTTGACCATAGGCTCTAATCGAAAAGTGTGTCGTACTGTGAATCCAGAAATTGTAACTACGAAAAAAATCTCCTTAGCTGAAAAGTGAACGAATATTTTACGAGGGAGCTAAGTTTATTGATTAATTTTTCAAAATTTGACAAATTAAAAGTGTGTTTGGCTAGAAATTAGAAACCAAACTATGATATTTTACCCACTAGAAAATGAAGAGAAATTACTAATAGTACGGGCTATACATGAACAGACCCAGAAGTCCATAAGGATGTAGTTATGGTCTGACAGAACTGCAGTATTTCGCACCTTGTTTCTCACGGCATGCTGCTGAAGATAAGAGAGAAAATATAGCCCAAATATTCATAAGCTTTTTCATATATAGTGAATTGATTATCAGAAAGACTTTCAAAATAAAACAAGCTGTATTCCAGTCTAAACAGTAGAGAGAACGAGTGAAAAACATCACATTGAAATAACCGATAAATCAGCCTCTTTTTATTCACGATTTTTTGTGCCTCTTTGTCATTTCAAAATGCTTAAGGTCGTTGCTAAATTATTCACATTTTGTCTGTCTTTCCTTCCTAAGGGAAAAAAATAAGTAAAATGAATCCCATGTCTAATGAAAGATTAGCTAAATAACCCACTAAATAGTTAAACCTTGGGTATTCTGGGATAAGTACAAGAGATATGTAATTAACGGTTTGTACTAACTATATTCTGTTAACACAAAGCTGGAAAATACAGCTGCAAGGATGTATTACGCACTGGTAATCTCGTACCCAGAGCCCACGTTCCTAGGAACTGGTCAATAAGCCTTTTCATAGTTTAAGAATCGATTCCACTGCGCATGCGATTTTATCCCGAATTTCTCACCGTCTTTTGTTTAATTACGAACAAAAGAAGGTTTAGACGAAAGAAGGTAGAAATTCGGGATAAAATCGCATGCGCAGTGGAATCGATTCTTAAACTATGAAAAGGCTTATTGAAACCCCCACCCCCAGACTCCGGGGACAGGGCGTGGAATTTAAGATTCTCCGTGTATCCATGTGCATTCACGTTAAATGCGTGTTCAATCCCCGGTCTCGCCACGTTAATTCCCAGCCATATTGTTACCCTCTATCGATGTGTTTATAATGTGTCTAGGCAAAATGTCAGGCATACTGATAATTCATATTCATAACACCGACGTTTGGTCAAATTTATCTTGTCAATTTTTGACTGATCAAGAAAAAACTTCAGGGGGTCTTAATATGTATAAATTAGTCTTTTGAACGACGTGTAAAATAATCATCACAGGCTTGCCAAGGAAATCTTAGGTCTATCTATCTATTCCCAAAAGTAATGATTGTCGTTGGTTTCTTACTTATTGATCGGCAAACTCGTTGCATTATGTAGCAAGGTTTTTATTGGTGAAGGGGGGTGGGGGNNNNATGTTCAGTTTGCAAAAGGAAGCCCAGTACTAAACCAAAGCGAAAAGAAATTTATTTCACTAGTTTCAAGTATCTTTAGTAAATATCTATCTGAAGTGACGGTAGAAGACGAGTAAGGATAGAATATTAGTGCAAGGAGACATTTAAACTTTCAGTTTTATTAACGATAAATACACAGTAGGGCATCTACAATGATTTATAGATTATTATTTGAAAACGGAAAGGAAACGCTGAACACCACTTTTAATCTCCAAAGTAAGGCAATATTGAATCTGATAAAAAAAATATAGATGATATATAAAAAAAATAGATGATATATTTGTCTCAAGACCGAAGGGTCATGCGCTTTCACTGCAGCATTTAAGGCCTTCTCCCATTTGTTTATCAGGTAAAGCGCCTTGAACGAGCCCTTTCCTGCGTCAAGTTTATTTATATTCTAGGTTCTTCAGCTTTGACTGGCCAATAAGTCGCATGCAGCACGGGTGCGACTTTCTGTACTTGCCCTCCCCCCCCTTAATAATAAGATACATTGTGCCTGAACCCCCTGTACACGCTGAATTATATACCGCCTTCCATATTCAGGTTTATAGTAATGTTTCCCTTTCTCACCTTCCTTCTCCTTCTCTTCCCACCCTTCGTCACCCATATCCTTTCCTAATGCGTCCCCTCTTAGGTGTCGTGTGGTTCTCTCCTCGGAGTGCTGTGAAGGTTTTTTTCTCCGGGTTCTCCAGTTTTCTCTTCTCTGCAAAACCAATTCTCAAATTCCAATTCGATCTGGAGTCGAGCGGTAGAGCTTTCCGGCTTCCTGCTTGTTCGACGTTAATAATCACATTTACTTAAGTAATGTGCATGTGATAACCGATCCCGAGTCGTGATCGACTTCCCGCCTTCAGTGTATTTTTGGCTTCCCTTATCAGCATTCGGTAATAACCGCGGGGATACATGTGACAGAGGTTACGTTCTAAGGCATATGGGTGTATGCGCATGCGCATTTGAAAATTTAGATAAATGTTTGCGCAGTATAAATTTATGAGTAACTATAATTATGTATAATATGGATGCGTGATAAACAGCTTAAACCACAACATAAAACTGAAAGTCTTGCATTAAGAGATCACTTGATCACGGGAAGGCTATTAGATGCTATTTTCATCGTTCTTCCTGTCGTTTAAAACTGGCAGTTTTAAATTCGTTTCATTTTGACGTCAAGCTCATTTAAGACAAGACGTGAACAAAAATTCACAAAACTATTTCTTTTTTACTTACATCAGGTATACTAGAGCAAGGATCGCTTATCTTGGTTCTGCATAAATATTGGCCGGGAATAGAGGTATTTAACAAAAAAATCCTTATATTCATTTATTCTAGTTTTCTCTCTCGATCAAGTTATCCTCTGGCATATTTTTTATCTTTTATTCACATTCTCAGCAATCCCTCTTCTTTTTCCTTGGGATTTTCAATTTATGCTAGGGTACTTTATTTACACGTTTACTTTTTATATGTCGTTAGTATCTTAAATATCATAGGCTAAATTAGAAACCAAAATTGACTAGTTTTCTTTTAATCCTTATCTGTTTTGCTTTACTGCTTAGTGTAGAAATATTTCTATAGCGGAAACATTTACTGATTTGACATAAAATTATTTTAAAAATTTCTCAAATAAGAGGCAATTTTTACTTAATATTTCTAAACTAGAAAACACTTCTTTGGAGAATCCTTCAGAAATGGAAGAATGGACATCCTATATTTCATTTTATCAAGAGAATATGATATTGTCTTGTTTTCATTTATATAATTTTCGTTTATTTTCTATTTTCCTTTCTCTAAATCAATAGTGTGTTCCATTTACTTTCGAAAAAACTCGGATGCTATTTTCGTAGAGAGAAAATGTCTAATATTCATATTTAAACGTGTTCAGTACGTCTGATTTTATCGATGTAAGCAGAAAAAAAACTCAAAACAAGGTCACGCGCGCACAATAACGAAATTCAACCAGATATCACGATTCGTATGTTGTCTTCCTCTCTTATGACAAGGACGTGAGCCTTTCCTGGAAAATTGAACTGTGTTTTTTGAACTTGTCAAAATTCTATCCAAAAGTCTGTTAAAATATTGTATAAATATTTTATAAAAACAAAGTGAGGACTTCCTAAACGTCATTATGCGTGTTGCAGCATCACGTCACGGAAGGTCAATATTTTTCTACCAGAAAATAAAAAACATCATTTCTGAAAAACGAATTCCAAAATGAAACATTTTATCTCACTATTAGGAATTTCTTTCTGTTTGACTATTTCGTTTAAAAACTCTATCCTCTAATTTTCTTATTTCTTATATTTTCCGATCGAGTTTCCGCTGGTGTCACTTTCTACTTTCCGTCTTTCACCTTTACGATGGATTGGTATTACACAATAAAGACCTCGGGGTATTTAGATGTTCACGTATTCCTGCGTCGCTTAGGAATCTCTTCCCCACGTCTCATATCTATGCGTTTCTAGTGTCTATAGAATATGTCACATTCAAGTTTTACAAGTCAGAACCGTTTCGAACTTGACGCGTCAGAACTTAAGCTTTATCTGAGAGGATCTTTCGTTTAACACACTGACGAATCTTGATTTACCAGTAAGATAGATTATCTAATTTTATCATCAGTGACCCATATTTTCTGTTTCAGTTCAAACTAAAAACTGTACTGTTTTTAGATCTATATCCTTGTTTTATTTAAGTTAAAAACAAAACAAATTATGAGAATTTGATTGAATGATTACTTAATTAGTGACGATACATTTCAAATGAATAAACGTGAGTGAATGCATGAGATCACTATTCTGAATCAACAAAAGTGCACATGCAGTAACCAATAGCAAGGTTTACTCAGCCAAAAAATCATATTTCAAAAAATGAAATTTGATCATGTTGTGTTCGCAAAAGGCTCTAAAGGCTGGTCTAAGCTGGCGAGTGTTTCACAATTCTCTTTCGGCTTCGCTTTAATCCTCGTAGTTTTAGCATATTCTTAAACGGAGCATTGCAAGGAATAAAGATAATAATGGTGGGCACCATTGTCACTATTGAATTCCTGGAAGAGCAGCTACTTTGCGCTAAAGGAACTGCTAACATCAGACATTTACATACTTTACCGCTTTTTCTTCGGGTTCTACGATTTTCCTCCAATTAGATATGTAAGTTAGCCGTGCCCTGATTTTGAACAGCCAGATGCTGTTTCAAGGTATCAATAAAATTTGAAGGTTTTAAAAGTTTTTTTTAAAAGTACATTTCAGTACAATTGTTTTATTGAGTTTTCAAAATTCTACCACAGTAGACGAAACCGTCATTGACATAGATCAATATATTAGGGCGGTGACAATCTATATCCTATATCAATGTACTATGACATTGTACTCAAAACTGTTGACTAATCGATCAATGCAAGCTATTTTTAAATGGCGCGACAGGAAATGAGAAAAAAAAAACTGGGCAGGGTATGTTATTTCCTCAGATTCACCTCCACTTCCTGGTAGGGATCCCTTCGTTTGAGCTTCTGCGCGCGCGAATGGTCCGTGGTGGTGTAAGTATATTACTGCATACAAATATAGACTGTTACACTGAATTTGAAATATTGAATGGTTATAGAAGTTCGGGTAGGACTAACAAAGTTTGTAAACTGAACGTTTGTGGATATTGCCTTTGAAAACTATATTGATCCACCAGACCAAGAAAAGGTCACTAGTTGCTTCGCGCGGTACCACTTCGGCGGGAAGAATGAAGTTTCTTCGAGTTTATTCGGATGGCCTCTATCAGCAAGCGGCCAGGCGACGGATATACATCTAGTGAGACTGCTTGAATACGTGCTGACGTCCTCTATTCCAACTTATCCTATACTCTTCTATCAAATCTTTCCTTAACGTGAGATCATGAGTGTTCTAGTAATAAGACTTACCCAGTTAGCATTCGGATCCACTGACTGGTCTATGTATTCGAGTAAGGCGGAACGCCGGTAGGAACTGTTTATAAGTTAGTACTTCCTGAGATCCGCGCGGCTTTGCCTTCTGTGCGCAGGTCAGGATTCTCAAAATTTACAAACCTTGTTGATTGAGTGAGCACCAGAATATATTACCGTAGGGGTTGAATGCTCAAAATATCTATAATCACGTTGATGGTATCTATAATCACTTTTAATAATCACTACATTCTTAAGAAGGCACCGACAGGACTGTGACTATCAAAGGTTGCAGATCATCTTTTGAAAATATGATAAACCGCTAGATAGATGAGAAAAGGTCAATATTAGCTGTGTGCGTCACCCTTTGGCGGGAAAAATTGACTTTGTTTGAGTCTCCTCGGATGGTCTCTATCAGCAAGCGCCCCCTTCCGACAACTATTCAGATATCTTCTAAGTTTCCGTTTCTTTTGGCACATACAGCGAGTGTGCTCAGTGCCGTGCAGGCAGAAGTCAATGGTAGTTAGAAAGCAGCTAGAAAGACAGTCAGGACTTGTGTTTTAATTCGTCTTAATTCACGGGTTCAAGTATAGCCAAATATATTGGCATGACAAACATTTGTCAACCATTCATTCCGAGTTCAGTCATACACTTTAATGTTCAGTTCCACTCGATTTTCAAGTCTCAGTCCCCCACTTTCATTCCTATTTCTACTGTGGTAGTCTATCATGTATTTTCTACACCAGCTTTCAATGCAAGGTGCTCCGCGATCCTTTAAAATATTTGTTTTTGTGCTTCGCGTGACTTTATTGAGTGGCTCTCTTAGAAAGTCGAGCCTTATATTTGTATTTCAACTCAAAAGGCTGTTCTTTAACAGCAGTTCATGGGAAAGGTCTTGTGATTTGCATTTTAAAACTGACCCATGGTAGCGTTATAGGGCGTTTATCATTCAAAAGCAAGTTTTAAAAAAAAGTTAAAGACAATTGATCCACTTGACACATACCGTCCCACATTACAGGACCGAGCCTCGCCTTATGTTAAGTCGAGTGAAAGATGACGATATGATTATTATAAAATATTATCACGAACACCCCAAGGGGTTCACTTGGGTACCGACATTGAGCCCATCAAAAAATACAAATAATTTAAGTTCATTAATCTTTTAATGAAATAGCGCCCTGTGAAGATGCTAGATAATTGCATTTATTGCGCGGCAAAATGAGCCCCAACTGTTTGTGTGTTACAGGGTTAGACGATTTTTGCTCTTTTCACGTTCTACATCATTCGTATGCAGGAATCGAGTTCCATTGTAATTATGAAGGAGCTAGGTAAAGCACTACCTTAAAAATAGTAGAATATTTAAGTGAACAAAACCATATAGATATGGCTCAACAAAAAAAACAACACTCGGAATGAGATCAGACCCGAAACGAAGACAAGGACTTTGTTCGTATAAAACTCATGCATGCACTTTAAAACAGTATGTTGTTGGTTGGACAGGGCTCAATGTAGCAATATTAACAACTCAGGCAAGTAGACTAATGCGTTGAACGTGAGTGACAGATAAACGTACCAGCAACTGCGCACGCGTGGAAACGGTTGCTGCACCGACCATCCGTGTGGTCAGCGTCCTTCATCCTTTCAAACTTTAGTTTATGAGATTTAGAATAAATACTGAAGACTTGATGAAAGAAAGTCGGTGCTGGTAAAGAAATCAGTACTGAGCACTATACTATTATGAATAGAGCTATTTTATCCATTTTGTGGTTGACGTAGATTTTCTCTTCAAGTACATCGTAGCTAGTATTTTCAGTTCCCTGTCTACGACAGCTAAGAGCAGAGCACCGGGACCCTTATTGATCTTACTAAGCCAAAGTCTTATTGTAATTTGATTACAATATTAATTCATTGAAATATGGTGGGATATATATTCGTTGTATAGCATATCTTATATATATATATAAGTTTTATGAAAGTTGTCAGTCTGTCGTGTAAAATTAGAGTGACGTGAAATAAAAAATACTAGTCAACGTGTAATAGTCAAATAGACACAAAAGAAAATGTGTATTAGTCTAATATCTATTGCACGGGTTTAATGACTTCACTCTATTTAAGCTATATGACTGGCTAATGAAATAACTAGAACTTCAACTGGTATGTTAAAGTATCGTGAATATATAGTAAAGATTCTAGGGTATTTTCCGGGGTATTTTCCTACCATGAGACCTGACTTTAGAGAATAAGCCAAAGATAGCTAAGCAAAAAAGTGAAAAACACTTTAGGGTGTGACCAAAGGGTGGGTACGAATACATGAGGAGAAGTTAGACGTTTGGTAGTACTGTAATAGTTTATCTTGCATGTCTGAAATAGATAAATAGGGATTGATAAACTTGTTGGTTTAAAGATAGATGAATCGTCAGATGGAATAGTTGATTGCCAGAGTTCTTGTCTAACAATTTCATTAAGAAAACATGATTTTCACTCCCATAGCAATGGAATAGTCGTTGACCCAGATTTCCGACCAGATGTGTGCTCCTATCTTGCGATAAATATTGAGCTAAAACCTTTATATGCGTAGACTTGGGGCGTACACTCCGTAAGCACGTAGGCACTCAAGAGGTGTGAGAAGCACTCGCCTACAGGTAGGACTTCTCCTTGCACTTCTTTCGTGCTTACGTTATTTCCTACATGTATGCAGCTGGGTGCGATATGAACCTCATAGATCACTTGAGCTGAAGTTTGAAAAACGGAGGCTTACATCCGCTATAAGGAATTTTACAGATATGAAAGTTGAATACCTAATTGACCAATCAGTTTACAGCAAAATTTGATCAAAAGTTTATTCGTGAGATAGATTCATCTTTCCATATAACGTAAGACTATGTTGCGTGGTCTAAGAAGTAGTTTACTGTACTAACCAAGATGTACTTTACTGCGAGCATTCTTTGAACAAAAGATCGAGGACATTGACGAATGTAGGGTGTCCATTTTTCGCCATTGTTTAAAATCTTATTAGTGTTGAACGAGGCCCACACGCTTGGGGTGTTAATCCCTTCAAAACATTGTCCATTTTTACTTACAATTTGAATAGTCAACTCATAAATATTTCCAAAACATGCCGATTTGAATAACTGTCATCTTTATTTTGACATTGACATTTTTCGTTAAATGATCCTATGTTGGGTCCAACCTCAATGTTATCTATGCCTCATTAGGTCTTCTAACATTACAATAGTGAAAACTACTAAAACAATTCAAATTAAATCTTACAATTGTAGAACGAGTTAAAAAAAACAAGAGTACGAGAAACGATGCTGAAGCTAAAAATAAGATTATGAGAATGGATAATTTTTTTTATTTTTTATTTTTATCTTAATCTTCATCGCGTTCTTTAACGATTAATAGCTTTAGGACCGAGTCAGTGAATTTTTTATTAGTACACGCTTCAATTAAGATTGTTTACCTAAAATCAATCCAGCTGACATTGGAACATAATAGTGCAATATATGCGGTGCTCACAGACATGCTAATTTAAAGCTATGTCGGTTAATACTGAATACTTTATCAATGGACTGCACTCTCTCTGTAATAAGAAAGCCGTGTGAAGTTGAATAGGCCGTTGGAGTTCGTAAGCCAACTAAGCTGGTTAAGACTTTTCATAGACGGAGAAAGGCAAAACGTAAATCTGGAAAACTGGCAGTCGGCTCACAAGGCTTATAACTGTAAGTATTCCCACACAAGAGCAGTTTTGAAGCAGTTCTAACCAGCCATGTTGGTTTTAAAAATTTCGTGCTTAGAATCCTCTCCGGCCGGCTGTTTTACTAAAGGACGGAGTTTTGCACTCAAGGTGGCGAAAGAAAAGAAGACTCGAACACAGAACAAGGGTACTTCAAAGATTCGCCGAAAATGCCCCTGTCCTTTATTATCTCTTGAATTCTGGTCAGGATTCTAGTGGTTTGGCTGCTTTCAACAGTAAAAAATGGAATTTAGTTTGGAGACTTATGATAAATGGTTTATTCCGGAAATAGAAGTGGATATCCTGCGGTTTCGTAGGACAAAGTGGTTAGCATTCCATTCAAGCCAACAGACTGAATGTTTCAAAATGTGACTGGCTCTTTTAATTGTCACGTCATTTATGAATTCAGTAAAATTTCGGTGGTCAAATGTGTCTTTCAAAATCAACGACTACCGTTAAGTGAAAGCTATCGAGTTTTTGAAAGTGTTTTCTTGGTTGACTTGGTTTAACGACAACCACATACCTAAAAAATAAGTACTTGTGTAGAACAACCAGTGTACATGACCATTTTAAAAGTCTTTCACGAGCTATGCTTATTCCATACTTTGATACTGACAAAAAATTCCTTTTGAAATACGTTATATAGCACAAAAAAGGCTTCTCCGAAATGTCTGTTTGTTTATTCGAAAAATAAACATAATTTCAAATGTTAAATAAATTGTTTCCATTCTCAAATATGAAATGACACAACACTAAAAAAGTAATGACATAGTATAGTTCAAATAATGAGCACGTACAATACGATAAAACGAGATGTTCGAATGTGCACAGTTTTGCGAAAACCGGAAATACGTATGCCAAAGAGAATAAGAACACCTTCTTTTAGAGCTGTCAATTAACATAATTCCCAAGGGACGACTTATATCGGAGCTTTATTTACTCTAGCAGGCCATACCATTTCAACACAGCCATTAAAACACTAAAGATTTACTAAGGGAAAGGTGTGTAAATGGACTCAATGGATTTGTAGCAACCACCAAACCAATGAGCAAAAGCGTACGCTATCGATACATCTTATGAGATCGAGTTGGCGGATAAGACTGTAGGAAGATTTTATTGCAAGCTGATTAGCCCTCCTCATGACGACTTCCTAGGAATATTTGGTTTGTTCTTTCACAGTGTGGATTCGAAAATTCGACAAGGCGTCGTATTTTCTCTCGGAGTGTGGATCGTTGAAGGCAATATTCCAGCGGTCGATCTTCTAGAATAACTAGAATAAACCGCTTTGTTCGTCTCGCTCTACGTTATACACAGTAACTTGACTATGGTTCTCTGTTGAACTCGTGGTTTTGGTAGTCAACTCTCTCGTAGAACGTAAATAAACGGTAAGGTACGTTTTCGTTTGTTTCTTCAAGGAATTATATAATGATTAAGTCGAGAATTAAGTGGCTTTTTATGCGAAGAAAAAAGACGTTCGTGTTTTAGATGCGGCATCAGTTGTTCGCCCCAAGCTATTATGGTTAATTCAAACGATCTTTTACGCAATTTCTACTATAGATACAAGGACAGAAAACGCAAGAAAATTTCTTATTCTCGACGGTTGATGATTTATATTTATAAAGTAGTTTTAATACCTTATTTATCACAATAAAAAATCAATCAATTTCGAAATATACCAGCCTTGTGTTGGTTACCTCGATAAATTCGTTTTAACCTTTACATTGGACTGAATTCAGGTTTACAATTTGCAATTATGATAATCCCGCACTTCAATAAGACTAACGTTTATTATCATTTATAAATGTATAACTGGGAAGTAATTTGAACTCCGAACCGTAAGGCAAAGAGTAGAAAATCCAAGCTGTGCACGTTTGTCTCAACAACAACGACCTTTCGGACTCTAAGGCAAGCATTTTGCTCCCAAGTGAATATCAAGCTGGTTTTCCTTATCAACTCGTGTTTCCTTTGACCTCCCATATGACAAGACGTCATTTAAATCGTTATTTTGTTTCACAGATTTAAAACCAACGCACTAAAGGACATTACTGGTGCAGGATGGAGGCAAGGCGAGCGCTGTTTGGTGTTGTTATGGTTCTGGTTTTGGCCTACTCTTCTTGTAATACTTGCACAAATAACTCTCACGTTGTCACAACGTTCAAGGGTAAGTTTGGGACACGAACATAGTAAAATTGTGGTAATCTTGTAGTGATATTTGATATCTCTGAAGAGCTTTTGGAGTAAAATACTCTAGAGAGCTGTGGTGTACCGCTAGTCAAAGGGTAGTTTATTTTTCTCGGACAATAAAGAACCTTAAAGTAGGTTGAGAGAAGGCGGTCATAAGCCCTGAATTGTTTTCTGTGCCATGTACTTATGACAATAGCCAAAAAGATGTTGGCTGCAATTAAAACGAAGAACTTGAATGTTTATGGTAAACCAATATGGTAAACCAAGCTTAGTTCCATTATGAGCGTGACTCTCTTCCATGTTACTCAACACGGTTCTTGGGTAATATTTAGAAACAAAATTCATAAGCAGTTTGAAAAACAAATTTTGTTAGGCAAACAAACTTTCATGGAGAATTTTTGGTATATGACAAGAAGCGTTGTTATTTCAGCAAACGTCTGGACCTCGCGTTTGATATATTTATTCAGCTGCTGAAATAATAATGCTTGAATTGAAATAACTTTTAGTCTACAAGAGGGAGGGAGATCGAGAAGGGGTACACTTGAAGCCTCTTTATTCTTACACAGGTCAAACAGGAAACAAAGTAAAAGCATTGAAATTGGAAATAATTTATTATGGTGTCCTGAAAATCTTTGAAATTTAAGAACTGCTATCTTTGAAACACGAAGAACAAATGACATTCGAAATTAAAAGTTGGATCTGTGGGTTTTGAATCAACTTGAAAAGATCATTATGACTGAAGGCTTATTTTTATGCAGATGGTTCGATGTCTGTGTTTTCTTTTGTCGCACTGCGGGATCAGAGACCATGGTTCGATGTCTCAAGAGTTATCAAAAGATTTAGCAAAACAACAACGGACTACTATAGACACTTGAATGTTCCGGTTCTCATAAAATCTTTCATTAAATAATCTTTTACACCTTGAAATATAAATCACTATGATGAGATCCCATCTTATCTTGCTTCTTGAAATTGCATAAATTTGCGTTGTAGAACTGTCTTAAAGTTTACTGCATTATCTTTTCATCTTTTATATTGATTTCTGTTTTGGGTTCAGCAGGTTTGCAGACAACTGTTGAAGCATATCTGTTTCAACCCTTGAGATAAGACCAGTTGAACGTGATAGAAAATAATTAGAAATACTTTGTTTGACAGATAAATTATTGAAGTTGAGATTGTTTTGTCAGTCGAAATAGTTTCTCTTGTTACTCAAGGCACTAGATTCCCTTTTTCTTTCATCACCACTTAAAACGTAATCTCTTACTTCTTAATAGCTAATTTGCATACACTAAGAATAACAATAAAATATGCCAACTGATTAATATCCTTTAATAGGGAGTAAAATCATTAATTAATAAGATTAGGCGTAAATTGAATTAGGAAGAGGTGTTGGTTGAACCTGTGAAATGAGACTTTTTAGTGGCATGAGCTTGTGCCTTTGTTAGTAGTGCAGTAGGTATGTGCAGTCAAACAATACCAGTGATAAATTATGAAAAATAAACAATTTGTGAATACAGTTTGAATATAAAAATAGTATGATAGTGTGCAGATAGTATTCATTATTTATTTTATAACGTTTGATTCACAAAGATTTTGACTTATTCCTAACAGATATACATTAGGTTTTTCAAAGGTTCAAAGCTACAAAATATTGTGTTTACATACAATGATGAATAGAAATAATCATGCAATATGAAATTCAGATTTTCCTTCAATGTTAATCATAGAAACAAAAACAAAAAGTGATGTTCTGTTTCATTATATTTATGAATGAAATAAAGCACAAATCTTTGTTATACCTGATCTGCAATCTTTAGTGCTAAAGGTTTTGGTAATACAATAAATGTTTTTCTTTTTGGCAATAAATGATGTTACAGTAATGCTATCAGTTACTAGCTAGCACAAGTCTAAAAAGAGAAAAGCTACCAGAATGTTTTATATCGTCCAAGCTGGGGGTAAGTAGATCTACAGATTGGCAGATTTTGCAAATAATTTAGAATGGATTACAAATTCATAATAATTCCGTTATTGTGGTTCAGATTTTGGTTTTTGATCATTTTAGGTTTAGGATTCCAGATCTAAACCCTTTTCAAAATGCTTTATATGTTTGTAAGACGAAAGCTGAGACAAGAAATACAACTTAGGCAACTGTTAAATTATTTGCAGCTTTGAATTTGAGCAATTTCGTTTTGCAGATCAATAAATTCAGGCATTGTTTTTAACAAATCCACAAATTTGCATTACCCCTATTCACCCCCCTCTCCTTTATGTTCTCTTCTTGCTCTCCCTTCCCCTTCCCTCCCTTGCTTCTTCTTCCCTTTTTGAAACCCAATTGCTTTGTGTTGCACTGTAACTTATTAAAGCACACACTGTAATACCGGCTTTGCGAGGTTATCACCTCCTTCAACCAGCTGTATCTTTCACAACTATTTGGTTACTAGGATTGCTTATTCACGATAACATTTCAGGCAGATTGCCAAACCACTGTTTCTAATCCTCATTCTCATGTCATCATGTTTAGTGTGTGGGCTCCAAAATGTGTTTTGCATATGATGATTTTATCAAGAAGAGACTCTTGGACACAAAGTCTATAGTCATACTATTATTAGGGATAAAAAGGCTTGTGTACTATACAGCTTGACCTTTGATATACCTACAGCATAAAAACACTAATTTATGTTATTAATAAGCTTATATTTAGTACCAGGCATGAAACTCATGTTTGTGTCTGAGTTCTGGGATTAATATTGTTTAACCAGAAACTACTATTTTAACATCTGATGTAGTTATGCAGAGCTGCTGTTTTGAGCATATTCTAGATCGGTAAATGATACTAACATAAGGTTTGGATTATTTACTTGATAAATGGAACAACTGTAAATAATGGGAACAGGATATGAGAGGAGACAGGCAGAGCTAGAAATGAAGATTATGAGAGAACTGAAAAAAGCTTAGTCCGGCATTTACTATATCTATATTTATAGATGTTTTCTGTAATAGATTTCCCCCTTGTCCCCTTCCCCACTCCTGCCACCACATTCCCTATCCCATTTGGGCTGCTACGCAGACTAGTAATAGATAAATATGATGGATATCAAACCCCTTTTTAAGTTTAATAAACCTAATGCATTGTGGTCTAGTCTTGGTACAAACTAACACCATACAAGGCACGCTAAACAGATATCTTTCAGGCTAGACCACAATGCAAAAAAAAGCCTTGCAAATGCAAGATGGTGTAAATAAAGGTTTCGTAATACGACGTTTGCATGATGGCATCATTTGACTCCCACTACCAAGATGCTTCACAGATTTTCTTTCTTATTTAAATTAGTATTCCCTCATGAGAATAGTAAGACACTTGGTGCTAATCAACTGAACAAAAGAAAGCATGCAAGGGAGTCTGGTAGTAGAGGTCAATAACGCCATCAGGCAAATGTCCTATGGAATGTACACAGTCTCACGTCCCTTGTACTGTGGTGGTTAAAAAGGGTTAATGGTATATTGGCATAAAGATAGTGTCAAATATCTTGTAATGTGGTATGTCATAGCAGGAACCAACAAAGTACCACTGTCATGTAATTACTCTATAACATGTGTTGTCATTGTTCAGATAGGGCACACCTTTTTCTGCAGGAAGCAGAAGTTTTTAGTACTGAAAAAATCCTGTTTCAATCAGGGAGAACCAATCTAGCTTTTTGTTAATTATGTAACATATGTAAATAGAAATTTAATGAATAACAGACAATGCAATAGATAGAAATATGATAGAATATAATAGATGAGTAAATCAACTTAGTACCAACTTGGTTCCATCTGTATAGTTCCACATGTGAACATATTTTTAGTTAATATTTTAAATTGAAAGCCCTATTTATCCCTCAATAATTAAATTGATATCCCCAAAATATGGGTTTATGTCAATTGAATTTCATCCTGCATCCATTGTTATAATTTATTACCCTGTAGCAAGGTGTTTATCAGTCCTTGCCTTAAGGATCATTGCTTCCCCTAGAGAAAGTAACTCCTTACCAAAGTTGTTTTCTATCATAGACTGATGTCTAAAAAAAACTTTGTTCCTCTTTTCTGTTTTCGTTTCAGAACTTATTTCAGATGGTGGTGCTTCAGAGTTCAAGGGTTCGTTGAAGGCACTAAATTACAGCGAGCTATTGGTTACAAATGGTTATCTGTATGTTGGAGCAAGGTAAGCATATGCCTGCCATACATTATGTATTCATAACCACCAATGAATAGAACATTATTAATCTTTGAATGTCAACTCTGTTAACAACAAAAATGTTCTCTTCAAATGTAACTAAAGCAGATATAAAATCCAAGTAGTTCCAAAGTTGTTTTGCCTGACCAGAATTTATGACTAAATTTACGACCGCAATTATTGCACTGTCTTGAGGTAGTCTGTCAAGATGTCTAAATGCTATTAATAAACATGGCACACACCCCTGTTAGACCCCTTACTCTGTCTTACTAGCTGCAACAACACTTGTCTTTGATGGATTATCAAAGTTAATACATAAACAGGAAGTATTTTTACCTGGTGCTATTGAACCAGGATAATTTTATGGTATTATAAATAACAAGACCTACAACAAGAGATAGTGTATGGTCTGTATACTGTCCGTTGTAGAGTCATCATGTTTATTGGATAACTTATTTAGCTGCTTGTTCACTCACAGTAAAAACACTATACTTTTATCCAATTTACATCTACAACAATAATGGCATCTCTTAGAACTTCCGCAAGTCTGAAAAAAACTAGATTCCCAGTGGTGTTGCATGAGATGTAGTAGCTCTATTTAACAGCTAGATAATTAAAGAGAATTTCTTTGCTAGCTTCCTCCGTTAGCTACTCTTGTTTTACAATTTTTGGGAGTTCTGTGTTGTGTTTGTCTCATCGTTAGGGATGTAACTCAAGCCAGAAACCTGATTATATACGGATGGCAGGTTTTCGCATTGATTTATACTTCAATAATAGTTATTTCTCAAAGGTGACCGCCTTATCATAGTTCTACTGTACTTTTAAACAAAGAAAAAAAATGCAACAGTAACAACATCTTGAATAGCCAGCGTAGCGGCTCTCGGGGGACTGAGAGCCGCTACGCTGGCTACATCTTGAAGGACTTCCGGAACGAATCAAAAACCCATGACCTAAAGGACCCAGCAAATGAGCCAGGATTCCCAGGCCAATTAGTCTTTGAAAAAGAAACGAAGCGACATTAGTATACCACTGGTTTCCCGAGGAAATCAAAACTACTAAGCCTCCATTTCCTTCAAGGAAAACTGAATTCGTTCAAGTAAATTGGAACGTCCATTATCGAAGATTGTATCAAACTACTTGCTCATTATGATAAATAACGGCTTCCTGTACATAAGTAATTTATAATGAATGCTTGTCATAGTTAAGTCAAACCTTGACCTATCAAGTGACCTGACAAGTAACGATTAACGCATGAAAGACGTGTTTCAAATATGAGTTCCAAGACATCTGTTGCCATCCCACGAAACAAGCACAGTGCTATTAAAATGCCCGTCTCAGGTATTTATAGCCCGTTAAGGTAGCACTGCGTAGGCAGGAAGCCGATTGATCATGGTTGTCGTGGTCTAATGCTGTCAAACACACCCCATGTAGTAGTAGTAGTGTAGTTTTGCTGGGAGCACTTTTAGCTGATTACGCACTAGACAATGAGATGTGTAGATTAATAGTTGAGATTATTTTTATAGCCGATCAACTTTACGGCCATTCTGTCTCGCTCAGTTATAGTTAATATCACGTCCTCGATAATAACTGAACTTTCAAATCATTCCTTTTAAAGGAGAGGGAAATGAAAAAATGAAATAAGAACACAATTAATAAAGCTCTTCTTTCTAAATTGGTAGAGTTTTATCGTACAGTATTTGTTCGTCAAGTGGCATGATAAATGGCATGTAAACCCCACCATGACGGCATAAATAATTTGTGAGAGCAAAATACTTATTGTTTGCTTACAGAAAAAGCAATCTATCAAGAATGAAATATCTTGAACGATTAGTATAATACTGTGGATTTTATGGACTAAACTGCTAATCCTTCTTAGTAAGCTTCCTCTGTTTTTGTTTTTTTATTACATAAACGTTCGTAAGTGTTGATTTACTAGATCCCTGGCTTAGTAATGGCGTATTTTCGCATAATCTAGCGCTCTTTTCTTACATTTTTGGCCCTTTTAAATAAAGATAGCGTAAACCTGTGCTAATAACTGAACAGGGCTTGTTTTCCTTCTTCTCTGAGGGACACATATAGAGCAAGCCTTCGCAGTAGGGGGTCACGCATCTTAAACCATTATCTTTTTCCTTTCCGACAAGCTTGAGGGCTGTTATTAGGCAAGATACTGTGGCCCTGTGCTAGGGACAAAGCTCGTTTTCCTTCTCAAAGGGACACTAAGAAATAGAGTTACCTAACACTTTTACCAAACTCATTTAAAATTAAAAAGGACTTCATTTTCTGATTTTCCTTTTTTAGGAATTACGTTTTCATGATAGATATCAATGATTTCTCGGAGCTCAAGGTAAGAAATCTAGGTGTATTGTAATCACTTAGTCTCCTTCGCAGCCGGTATAGGGAAGTGAGCGTTTCGTGACGACACTAATAGCGGCTGCATAGTAGGCTAGTAATCACTGTGCCGTGTCTTCGACATACCGCCAGTTTTACCCAATGTATCAGGAAAATAACACCAACTTATGAATCCCTGAAATAACCTCTAGCTGACTTGGCTTAGCATAGAATTAAGGGGATTTTTTGTTTTGGCGCCAAAGGCGTTTTTCTTGGCGACTTTTGGTCAAATAAATGAGCGCTACTGAATAAGAGAGTAAACAGCCTCTGGAACGAATCAGACTGAAAAAAGTCAGGTTGGCAAATATATGATCAGCGTCGCATCCATGGTGTTTCCAACTTGGCTTTCCATTTTACGTTTATCACGTATCCCGTGGTAAATCTGTGCCGTTTGAATCAATTCACGAATAAACTGAGAATATGATGCGATTAGAGAAAGGCTGCGGAAACGATGGCTGCGGAAAATACTAAAAAAAATGTGACCTTTAAAACATCTCTTTTATCACTCCTTGCCCTCGGGGGATAAACTCTTTTTGTCAAGATTACGATGCGCATTCAAAGCTGACAGGACAATCGAAAAGAAAAAGACCATTTTGTCAACAGAAATGATGAAATTTAAAGGAGAGAAAATTCTAAATATTTTTTGCCGATTATCATCAAACCCATGTTCCAGCATTGCCCTTGTAGCCTCCTGCTAATTGCGCAACCCTGCAACTGTTAAAGGTCTATTTTTACGTCTCTCGAGCAAACGTCGTTCCTTCAATCGAAAACCTTGTACGGGAAATGAAGGAAATTGGCTGTGAGTTTACTAAGCAAAACCAGGGAGGTGGGAGGCATTCACTAGGAAACCCCCAGACAAGTTTCTATTTAGTATGAATATAACCATCGGGTAGAAAAAACATAAACAGTCGCTCTTTTAGCTGAAAACGTGTCATACAGCGATCTTTCTCCAGACACTGATTTTGAAGTATGCTGAACCTGACCTTGAGCAGTTGTGCGTGTTTATATTTTATCAAGTTTTTTGGAATGATCGATGATATCAAGACGATAAGATCTTTTCTTTTGTCTTGCTCCTCAAATCTGACCTTCGTTTTCTTTTTCAGGCTGGAAATTATTCGTCTACAAAAAGTGACGCCCAGCGCTGCATGTTGAGAAACCCAAAGGTTAGTGTTAGAAGAACGCGGACTTCATACCACAGGGAGCCCATCACAGATAAGTGTGAGAAAAGCAACAGTACATTAAATCACAGGGAGCCCACCACAGATAAACCAGTAAATCAAAACTATCTTGATTCTCGTATCAGTTTTTAGTTAGGAAACTAGCAAGACCTGAACGGAGCAAGAAACGTTTGTTCTTAACTTTTAAAATTGTCAAACTTATCTAAAGAAGGCAGGGGCGGGGCATAAGCTACTGTCAATCAAGTACCTAGAGATGCACCCTCTCCAGTCTCCCCCGAGGTCCTAGTGCCGCCATGCCGAGCGTTGCGTGAAGACTCTAATCACAGCTRCGAGAAAAAGTGCATCCTTTCTTACTAATAGTTTAATTTAGAGTGGGCTTCCTGTGTGCACGGTGTGTTAGTTAGTGACTGGAGTAGTGCGTGATGGCAGTAAACAAATGGGGCTGTGGCCTTTAATTGGGGATTAAAAGATAAGACATCTACCATTACTCTGCAAAAGATAATAAGTAGGAAAGAAATAAAGAAGGAAGTGGTCAACCCATTTTTTAAAGTTACACAACCCCGAAAACTAGCCAAAAGTATAGGGCTCTATATTCTGGGCGTCGGAAGCCAAACTAAAAAACATCTGGAGCTGTCATGGTGGCGTAACTTTCAAACTGGGTGTAACTGTCCGTTGACGAGCGTTAAGAGGTCTTTTTTCGAGCTAACAAGGGCCTTTCCGTTGTGGTTTAGCGCGTTCAAATAAAGTCTGCTTGTGTTGGACCCTTTGTCTTTAGATGTGATGTTTTCCATCATTATTTCAATGCATTTTCATTCAGATTACTCAATCTTCTCTCATGTTTTACCAGCAAAAGAATAAATAATATTTAAGAGCATTACATGCATTATGCCCAAATCAATTTTTTTGTACGTCAGTGACCATAGTGTAAGATAATACTAGATGAAACTGGGTTGTATCTAAAAAGCAGGTTACGCCCAAATTAAAAATCTTTGGTGTAAGGAAACTAAGACAAGAAGACAAATGCACTTTAGACCATTTTATAGTTCACACCCAGGCAACAGCCCAATCCAGCCGACGTGTCTCATGGTCAATTTTGGCAGATATCCAAACAATACCTAACATTCCTTATTTTTGGTCTTGAACAGGAAGAGTGCTTCAACTTTATTCGAGTCTTACAGCCTTTTGAGGGGAGACTGTTTGTTTGCGGAACGAATTCCTACAAACCTATTTGCATGTGGAAAAACGTAAGTTCCGTAACAAGATATCACACTAATTTTATATCCTTCGCATTTGAGTAAGACCACTTATCAATACTATTGTTCTATTATTAATAGCTTACAGACCTGTCCACCGCAAAACAAAGAGACGATAAGGGAAATGTATTCCCTAGACAGGTTGATGGAGTAGGACTGGCTCCTTATAGCCCTAAATTCCACAGCACTGGTATAATATCAGGTAAGAGCAACTATTATGTTACACCAGGGTAACAACTAGAATCTGCTCACCTCCTTAGTGTATGTTTCGAGGGAGAGGGGGTGGGGGGTGTTATCAAAACCCTACTCACAGTCCTTTTCTTAGTTCAAGGTACCTCTTTAGTTTGGACGTTTTCCTATTTCAGTAAAATAAGATTCTTTGTTTGAGTAGTATCCATATTCATGTGTCTTCTCATGCTCAACGGTTAAACAAAGAAATAATACTCTAGTGAATGACACGTGGTCTGAAATAAATAAAACTTTACGCCCAGGCTAAAGAGGTCTACTGATTAACACAATTGACTTTACGACCTTTTTTTCAGAGTATGGACGATATTACGCGGGTACTATGCGAGACGGTGCAGCACGTGACTCTACGATATTTAGCTTTGACTTCAAAGCACGGAGGCGTATCCTGGAGACGAGTAGAGGGAACAGAAAATGGCTGAGCGGTAAGACACTCATTACTATTATTATATGATTATACATTAAATAATACATTATTATTTCATTATTATTGTGGAACTGAATTCTGGGACCCAACAATCCTTTGCGCCATAAACGTTTTGAAGGATAATTAAGTTTAGTTTGCAATGAATTGATTTTTTTTTTCATTGTTTTTATTCGTTATAGATTCAGAGTTTGTGAAGAGCTTCAGTCTTGGTAGCTATGTGTATTTTTTCTTCCGGGAGGCAGCCGTGGAAAATGGCTGTACCAAGACAAGGTTTTCTAGAGTCGCTAGAATCTGTAAGGTAAATCAACCCACCTTTTACAAACTCTTGTAAAATAAGAATAGTGCGCATTGCAACTACAGCGATCGAAATGATTTGATGGTTTCTTGCGCTCGTGTCGTCATAGTCACAGGGAAGGGGAGGGGTCTCCCTTCCTCACCATCAGCACCTCTAAGCTCTCCTTCCCCACATCATGGCTCAGCTCCGCGATCCGTGTCTTAGAGCCACTATTATTTCTTATTCATACACGATAAAATTGACGTCAGATGCGCGGTTAAAAATTTCTACTATTCATGCTGAAGCTTCACGACAATTCTTCGTGTTTGAACTAAACTAATTGTGCTGTTATATTACTTGATAGGGCGACTATGGTGGAAACGAGTACTTTTTAAAGAAGAATTTCGTAACGTACAACAAAGCCAGAATAGTCTGTCAAACAAAGGGACAGTATCCTGCCTACTTTGATGAGATCCGTGAGTAAAGTCTCTAATATACTCTGTGAATGGCTTACATCACCCCTGAAGTATCTATTATAGTCAGTGAATGGCTTACATCACCCCTGAAGTTGTTTCAGGGTGTCAAATTTGAAGGCTTTTTTACATGAGAAAAATCATGATGCTTACGTTGTTGTTTGTTGTTCTGTGGTTGACAGAGGATGTGTTCTGGGACGAAAGCAGTTCTGTGTTCTACGCAATCTTCACCACACAACCGTAAGTATTCAGTAATAGTATGTAGTATGTAGTATATTTAATGCACAGTTATCCCTTGAGAGGTAGAGTTAATATGGACGACACTCAAGCTGCGGATTATTCTTTAGTCCACGTTCAAATTAACGACTCCTAAAACTCTAAAACTCCAGTGTATGCGGGCTTAACCTCGAATCCAGGAGTTGCTTGTTTTGTTATACTTATTTCTGCTTTTGTTTTCCGATCTCAGAGGTGAGGTTGAGCCCGCATAAACTGTTGTTGTTTAAAAGAGTCGTCAATAGAATGAGTCTTTTGAACTTCACTATTAAAAGCACATCTAAACGGCGGTCTTTTTCTTTAATGCTCACGTAAAACCTTTGACAGCTCTTTAATGTCTCTTGTAGAGGCTTTGCACCATCACGTGCCCACACCCATAATACAGCTTGGACTACCTGTGGTTAGATGGCAGAACAATAATCCCTTTGCTCTCGGGAATCGAATTCTTTCTCATGGAAAACGATTGTATTGTATTGTCACGTGATGGCGCAAAACCTCTATAAAGCTTTGAGTAACTGTTGCCACAGCTAGACCAGTGAACAAGTAATAATAATAATATTTTTTTAGGAATGGTGTGGATGGGTCTGCAATATGTGCGTTTACCATACAAGATATTGAACGAGTTTTTAATGGCAACTATAAATACTACGACAAAGTGACAAGAAACTGGGTGTCTAGAGCCAACCAACACCATTTTGAAAACGTGAGTCGCTTCTATGGCTTGAATGATGAATCAAATTGAAGAATATGCTATAATTGTGAAGCAGAAATAAAAAAATTAGCAGTACCGGTGAAGACTCAGGGAATTTACCTGTTTAGCTTGGGCGTAATGTTATGTCATTTCAAACCCCGTTTCATACCCTTGAGTATCATTTCTTTTTTTGTTTAACGGTTAAGTTGGGTATGAGAAGATAAATGAATATGGATACAACTAAAACAAATATTCTAATATTCTCAAGAGAATGATACGTGGTCTCTGGGAGAAACATCACACCCAAGTCTATTCTGCTTTTCTTATCTTTCATATCACTGATTCCGTATATTTTTGGCCTTCAGTGTTCCGTGAAAGCCAGCAGTCAAGAACAAGGTCTTCCAGAATCCTACAAGAAGAGACTTGTCCCAGAAGGGATGATGGCGACCCGCATCATGACAGGCGCGGCACTAGACGACACAAAGAAGTACCAACTGATGAATGAAATAGTTTATCCTCGAAGCACAACAGCTCAGTACATCGAGCATGGATTACGGTAACTATCTTATCGATACCGCATTGCCCGTATCCCAATCTACAGAGCCTTGAACTTTCAAAGTCGGTTTTTCATCGTAGAGTATCTCAACAGGGGAACCCCAGAACTGGACCCTTTTCACAGTTGTGTTTATTGTTTTTACGCGCGCAATCCTAGCTTAGTACAAAATGTTCAAAGTTTATTTCATTTCCATGCATCTTTGCGCGCCCGCCCGCGCGCGTTGATTTGTTTTATAACGAATATAATAACAGAAATAAGGGTGGATCCTGTTCTGGACTACAACAGAGCCAGGCGGATCTAAGGGGGTAAGGGAGGGGGTAAAAATGCAAAGTTTGAGGTTATTTTCTTAAAATATACAGCGGCATTTTCAGTTGGATATCAACTAAAAAGACATTTTCGTCATAAGGAAAATTGCGCTGATCGCCACCTATTGATATTAATGTGCCAAAAAGAGATTTATTGGCTAATGAAGCAAAGAGATCTTTTGTTTTAATGGCTGGCACATTTGAGTGAGAAAAAATTCATGACGTAAATGTTTGCAAACAGTGAATATCGCTATAACGGATGATTACAGTGGTATTTTAGTCTCCTACTCGGTGGGGTGAAGTATATCAGGCTTCTAATGCATCAACACTTGTACATTTCTTTTTTTTAGATTCAGCACTGTTGCTGTTGACCATGTCGTTAACAGGATCGTTATGTATGTAGGAACAGGTATGTACAAAACTGATGACACTGAATGTGTTTGCGGCCAAATATTTGTATCTTGTAAGGGGGGGGGGGGGGGGGGGGACTGGGTATAGGTGTGGTTGGGGTTGGGGTGCAGCTTATCAACATTGTTTGTTGAACTAAAGTATGTTTGTTTCTCTACTAGACAAAGGATCAGTAATCAAGTTATTCAAACCCATTGGCCACAATGAATCCTGTATTCTGGAAGAAATAAAGATCTCTGTAAGTAGAATAGGTGCTTCTCTTTATCTCCAGCTTGCTCTCAGAACCACTACAATTAGTAACTATTACGAGTACCACTGACTCGTTTTTGTCTTAACTTTCGATTTTTTCGCACCGTTTTTTACTTTACTGACAAGATTTCATTCCTTGTACTTCAGGATAATCAAGACAGTCCAATCACTAAAATGCACCTTGATTCCCAAAGGGTATGTATTTTACACAACATATTTCATCTTTCCCATCATAAAACACCGGTACTACATCCCAATATCTCGAGGAGAAGAGGAGGATCCAATCAGTGAAACACTTTTTTGCTGATGAGAGCTACTACGTCGTAATTAGGTTAGACTTCGCAGTATCCACTAAGGTCACACCTCAAACGTACTTCGGCTAAGCAGGGCTGCAAAAACATTTGTATTGGCTTTATCCGTATGCTTTGTAATTTGTTTTACCAGGTTTACCTATACGTGGCTACCAATAACAAGCTAGTGAGAGTAAAACTGAGTCGTTGTGAAAGACACAAAAACAAAGAGTAAGTAAAGATCTACAGTTTGTCTGAATAACTATCAGGAAAACATAAACCTTCATGGTGAGGGAGGAATGAGTGCGCATAGTAAAACACTCCTTGTGAGTGCAGTGCGTGACACAGGGGATGGAACGAAACGAACGGCGCGAGTATGGCCCTTGTGCGGTGGGCGCAAAAAGGAACTTGGGTGAGGAAGTCTGTGCCTGATCTTTGTTACGTGACTGACGTGTGTAGAATACATCCCTTATGCGGGGGACGCTAAGAGGGACTTGAGTAAGGAAGTCTGTGGCTGATCATGCTTACAAGAATGCTGTGTTATGGTTCTCATTTACAGATCCTGTATTCAAGCTAACGATCCTTACTGTGGTTGGTCTTCAGGGCGCTGTTCCTCATGGAAAAACAGGTCAAATATTCTAAGTCTGTATTAATTACTTCGTAAAAACACTAACGATCTAAATGAGTCTTGCTTTATAAATTACAGAGATCGTAATTCTGGATGGGAGCAGTCTCTTAATAGATGTCCCTCAGCTAAACGTGAGTATTTGGCTTTTTGTCGTTTGGTTTTTTGATTGACATTTACCTTATCATTTTATATTTGCTTTTTCCGCCTTCCTTCTATAATCCTCTTCTCTTACATTCATTTTTATTTTCTCTTGCTTTATTCTTTTATCCGTCATTCCCCTTCTCTTTTCTTCTCTCTTTTCTTTCCTAGTTTCGTTTCCTTCCCTTTCTTCTTCTTCTATTTCCTCCCTTTCATTTTCTTTCCATATTTCGTCTCTCCTCCTCTCAGCCATTTATTTAGGTATTCCAGTGTTTTCTGACAAGCTTGTGTTCATTTTCAGCGGTATGGTCCGAGTGGTCTAAATGGAAAGTATGCACCCAAGAAAATAACAACGTATGCCAGTGCCGAAGAAGGACATGTCTTAACACGTGTAACTCCAGTGATTGTCCTGGCAGTGCTATCGACCTTAAACAGTGTACAGGTACAACAACTAGAAGATGCATAAAGTTTTGAAGATCATGTTTGATTAGCACGCGCGCGTACTTTCGTAAAAGAAATAAAGAGCTTTATTAGGGATTAGCAAAACACTCAAGAAGCGTTGAGAAGCACTCTGCTACGTGTCGTGCTTCCCGTATTCTTCCAAGCCCCGCGTGCTTTTAACTGCACGCAGCATTAGCGCGCGTTTTCTATTACTTCATCACTTGCAAGTAATATAATCTTTGCGTCAGGTCGGTGGTTGATAGGAAAGGGGATAAGTATTGTATAGTATGAGATAGTATAGTGCATTATGGTGTCGTCATGTAGAATTGCTTGTCTTTCAATCATTCCCAAAAGAGTGAAATAACAAAAGACATGGCGGCATTATTGGATGATGTAATAAAAGATTTCATTGACAAAATCCAACATGGCGGCTATGATGTCTTGTGCAAACGAAAAATACACGCGTAGCGTATAAATAATGGTAATGGAAGGGAATTCTACAGACGAGGAAAAAAACAAAAATAAAAGGTTGTATCCCAGTGACATGGATTGACGAACACGAGACATCACAATCATTTATCTTGCAGTTGACAAATACCACTGGACAACCGAAGCCAACTGGTTGAACCAAGGTGTGATCCATGGTAACTGGACCCCGTGGACTGAATGGACTCCATGTCCTGTGACGCTGGGGGTCGGCGTAAAGAGGCGATTACGAATGTGTATGAACCCTCCACCCAGTAATGGTGGAAGACGTTGCCATGGTGACTCGGTCGAGTACATGGAATGTAGTGTGGAGCAGCCGCTGAAAGGTAAGCACTGCAGAGCATCTCTTCCTCAGGCTTGTATATCCTATTTTTTTGGTTGAAGACTGGTTAAGCACCCGTTTATAATTGCCGGGAAGACGGAATTTTTGTTCATTATTTTTCTTATAGAATGAGGTGAATAACGTTTGTTATCTCGTAATTCAATGGCAACTTGTTCGTATATTTAAATAAGTTTATTTCCCTGTGGCACGGGTAAACGAGTGAGACTGGAGCATACTCAGTACCAGGACTTACGATTTTTATCAATCCAATATGTATATATATATATATAGTCTATATATATTCTCAGTTAACCATATTGTATTTCTTATACCTTTTCCAGAGAAGAAGCAAGTAATCTGGACAGAAGCGATGGGTGTGTTAGGGCAGGAGAATACAGCAGTACGTGTGATGTACACGTGTTCTGTACAGGGACATAACCTCACTAACATGACTCTGAACCTCACCAAGATAGACAAGATTGACTGCACTGAACACAAACAAATCTGTAAAAGTGAGTTTTACATAGCAACATAGTGCAATTTTATTCATATTTTCTTTAAGTCAAAACACGTATGTAACGGCTGCGGATAAGGTTTAGTGTTATTTTTCTATCTTGGGTCCCAGAGGTCCGTTTTCACTCCGAATAGAAGGTGCCTGAGCACACACCACTGATCATGTGAGACAACTCGACAACGAATCATACGACCATGAAGGACTGGAGTTAGAGATCCCCAGGAACTAGAGGTGTTTCTAATCTGACCGCTGGCTCTCGCACATTTTCTTTTAATAATGAATGGGTGTTAAGGAGATGTACTGTTCTGGACACCGATGGTGGTGACTCTGTGACTATACAGTTCCCCAAAACTTTATTAGAGAATCTTCTTGTCTAAATGCGGATAAGTGCTGAGAGAGTTAAACAAATAATTAGTGTAGAAGTCTAGCTATTCTAACTAAACTAACTATGGCTACACGGGTAAGAGAGAGAAGCAGCATAAGAGGGTGAGGCCGCTGAGGATCGACTGAGCTATGGACCTTTTTCTGGCAACCAACCCGCCTTGCAACTGGCTGGTTAGGAAACAGCTGTTTTTATGTGTAGTATATGGAGTCTTCCTATTGATTTACTTGTACTTCCCTGAAACTATTCGAAATAAACAGCTAACTAAATCTATGCAGCGTTTCTGAGTCCGGATTTCTCTCATTTCCAATCGAACCCAGAGATAAAAGAAGGATGTTTGAATTTGTTTTAAATTATTTTCCTGTATCGTTTTGGTTTATTGATTTAATTCGTGTTTAATTCGTTCAAGTTCCACCAACGGTCCCCCCAGGTGTATGGAGTAGCTGGGCTGAGTGGAGTAAGTGCAAGGTGGTTGGGATGCAACACCGGACACGAGATTGTAAAGATGTGGATAAACCATGTGTTGGCGATAAGAAACAAGAAAGACAGTGCTATCCTGTGACCATCAAGCCTACAACCCCGTCTATCCCAACACCAGGTCTTACAACTCCTAAAGGTACTACTGGTGTCATTAACACCCACCTACCCACCCACGGGCAAGTTCCTTTTGATGGCATGATATGAAAGGGACCTGTGTGTTCTGATTAACACCACTGTATTCAATATTAACCCATGCATGATGTATGCTGTTGTTATATCATCTGTGTTCTGATTAACACCACTGTATTCAACATTAACCCATGCATGATGTATGCTGTTGTTATATCATCTGTGTTCTAATTAACACCACTGTATTCAATATTAACCCATGCATGATGTATGCTGTTGTTATATCATCTGTGTTCTGATTAACACCACTGTATTCAATATTAACCCATGCATGATGTATGCTGTTATATCATCTGTGTTCTGATTAACACCNAATATTAACCCATGCATGATGTATGCTGTTATATCATCTGTGTTCTGATTAACACCACTGTATTCAATATTAACCCATGCATGATGTATGCTGTTGTTATTTCATCTGTGTTCTGATTAACACCACTGTATTCAATATTAACCCATGCATGATGTATGCTGTTATATCATCTGTGTTCTGATTAATACCACTGTATTCAATATTAACCCATGCATAATGTATGCTGTTGTTATATCATCTGTGTTCTGATTAACACCACTGTATTCAACATTAACCCATGCATGATGTATTATGTCAGCCAGTGCCCATATCATCGTCGTGTTGTGCTGGCACTAACTTTTCTTGTAACTGTCATCATTGTGTTGGTCTACTATCCCTTCATGCCATCGTCACTATTTTCTTACCGCACGTGCATGCATGATGTACTTCACTTCTTTCGACTAGAGCCGTTTTACGTCCTACGTGTCTCTATCCTTAGCTCGATCGTCAGCACATCACCTCATTCTATCCTGTTCGAACTTCTCTCACTCGTGTTGCCGCTTTCTTCGTTTCAAACCAAGTTTGATGTAGACCTCATTTTGGAGGCCCTTTGAGATCAATATCGTACCTTTAACAAATACCATTCATAGCCCAATCATATAGTCTTCTATTCTTGGACTGCAACCACATGACTCAGAATCATTCGGGATATGAATAACATTGAAACAGCCGCCATGTTGGTTGATCTTACAAGAGAAGCTAATCAAACAACATGGTATAAACAACAAGAATAAGTTTTGTACAGAATTGTCTTTTTTTGGCTCTGAAATATTTTCTCAAAACGGATACCTGATGGAAAACATTACATAGCGTTTACCATCGCTTTTTTGCAGTTTAACTGACATTACGTCAATACAGAGGTTTCAAGGCAGACATCTTGTTGGGCAAAACAATAGAAATTTCATATGTTTGAGAAACATTGCATAGCATTCATCCCGGGGGGGGGGGGGG